TATATATTCACGTTTTTTTCTGATTTGGCGCGGATTATGTGGTTTGAGCTTGCAAGGTTGTTCTCTAAGCCTCCCACACACCTCACTGTAGCTGCAGTGTCGTGTATTTGCTGCCATTGCAACGCATCTCCGTTCTATGTACTAAATTGGGGATGGTCCTAAACTTTTTGCCAGCACTGTATACAGCTCAATTACGCGAAATACATCGCATGTCGATGATTGGCGGATTGCCCTGAAAATTGAGGACTTTTCATGATTCAAAAACGATGCCTCAAGCGGCTAATTGAGGCTTGACTCAAGCCTCAATCAGGAATTATGGCTCTACTCCGAAAAATAAAAAAGTCGATTGAATTTCTGCCATAACGTTATTTGCTTTGTTAACTGCTTCCAGGGAATCCCTCGCTTTGCGTACTTTGTGCCCTTTCTCAGAATCTACATTAATGAAGGCAGCTGGTTTCGACGGCGAAGTTGGTGACATTTCCGTTTATATTGTCCTCTATCCGTCTAGAATCCCCCCATACCACGTACTCCGGAGTACGTTACTTTATATAACGATACCAGACATCCCTTTGAGGTTTTCAGCCGATTCATTGGTCAATTATTGGGGTCATGAGATATTTATTGGTTTCTTCTATACTTCTCCATTTGCTTCTCCAGCACGCTCCAAGAAAACTCCTATCGGCGTAACCAGCCGCTAGAAAATGGTTGCACGGGTGGGAAACTTGGTTAGAGCGGTCGTTGGCATCGATATGTAAATTTGATACAAATTTCCAGACCCCGCCCAATCGAAATCTCGCACTAAGTAATTCGCACTAAACCAGATGTACCCATTTCCGTCAGTAAAAAATGTACATACCAACCGACTCGATTCCAAATCCATCAAGTTGGTCAAACGGGGCTCACCAAACCACCATCCACATTTTCAATTTTGCTCACTCGACATGAAGTCAACCGCGTTCTTAACTCCGATGGCCTTGATCATGGCCATGATGGTCCAAGATGCTTGTGCCCACGGCCGTCTGCTCGTGCCTCCGCACCGCGGCTACATTGGCAGACTGAAGCAATTCAATGGCCTTGTTCCCGTCAACTACGGTGACCACAGCCTCAACGCTGGTGGAATTGGCCACACTAGTGGCGGCAAACACGGGATCTGCGGCGACAAGGACTCTGGAAAGCGCTTGCACGAGACTGGCGGAGAATACGCCAAGTTCCCCCAGCATCGCGAAAAGGTCATCGGGGCCTGCTACGCCCCCGGGTCCACTATGGACCTTCAAGTTCAAATCACGGCCAACCACAAGGGATACTTTGAGTTTGGACTGTGCAAACTGAACTCGCTCAACGACAGGGAAACGGAAGATTGCTTCAAGACGCTTGTCCAGCCCAACGGCGAAAAGGACTGGCAATTGCCAGCGGGGTCCAAGACCTTCAGCATGCAGTACATGCTCCCCGATGGCGTGTCGTGCGACGGAGACTCCCACTGCGTGCTTCGGTGGCACTACGTCGGGTGGAACAACCCGGATGCGGATATCAACGGCCAAGAGCACTATTGGAACTGCGCCGACATTTACGTGAGCAACACGTGCGGGTCCAGCCCGTCGCCTAGCTCGTCCCAGTCCACGCCCAGCACGTCCCAGTCCACGCCCAGCACGTCCCAGTCCACGCCCAGCACATCCGAGTCCACGCCCACCACGTCCCAGTCCACGCCCAGCACATCCCAGTCCACGCCCAGCACGTCCACACCTTCGACGTCCAAGCCGGCCATGACCAACGACCCCAAACCCACTGCCCCCTCGTCTAGTGCTGACACCCCTATGACCACGGACACCCCTCCGTC